ACTTCCGCTCTTGGGCAGCCTCTCAAAAATTGGAGGACTTCCTGAAAATGGTGGAAGACAGGTGGCATGATCCGCAGGAGGCTCAAAAGGCCACTGATGCGATCTTGACACTGCACACGCGGCAGTTTAAGTCAGTAAGGGATGCCACCGACGCTGTAGAGCGTTTGATTTGTGTTCCAGGGGTACGCTATGACCCCCAGGTCCTGCTAACTTCGTACCTGAGGACCTTATCTCCGCCGCTCAGGAACCAATTGCACAACTTTCCTTCGTTCAGCAAGGTGGCCCTAGACCTAGAAGCAAAGATAGGGCATGGACAGGCACCCACGACGGAAGGGAGAAAGAAGACACTGCCTCCCAACTGGAAGGCGAAGGGTCGCTTAATGCTTGTCAACAATGATGGTTCAACCATCGAGTTGGACGGCAACCTCCAGGAGGGAGTAGGTGCAGAGGCAGGTGGCGATACTTCAGAGGGTGGAGTAGTCGCCGCCGTAACCCAACAAAAAGGTAAAGGGACCGGTAGATGCCCTAGGGGATCCCGGTCGAAGAGTCAAACAGACCCCAATGCTCCTCCATGGGAGAAAGCGGGTCTAGCTGAGGACGTGTGGAGAGATCGGTGGGCACGACAAGCTTGTATCAAGTGTGGCCAATATGGTCATAGCATGTACAAGTGCCGCAATAGGAAGGTCACCGAGAAGATCCCGCCCACTATGGGGTCGACACTAGGATCCTCTCAAACCGTTGGTAGCAACGTTGCTAGTTCTTCAGGCAGTGCTCCGGGAAACACGTCGGGCAAGTAGGGATAGTAGCTGTTCCTACTAGGGTCGCGATGGTGGATTCACCCTCACCTTCGTGAGAGATGGCCCAAGCTACAGACTCTTCAGTCGTCCCGCAAACACATTCAGATCCATCGACCCTCTGTTCGATGAATGTGTTTGAATCCTTAGAGGAGCTAGAGCATGAGTGGTCTAGATCAGATCCACTAGCTTCTTGGACGGCGTTAGTTAAAGCCCCTAAGAGTGAAATGTTTGTCAGCGAGGTAGTCATAGGGGGCCGCAAGGCAGGGGCCTATTACGACACTTGCTCGACTAGAAACTTTATGAGTCGCGCTTGCATTGAGAGGCTGCGCTTACAGGGGCAAGTGCATCGCCTGAGTCGACCTGTGGAGTCGACATGTGCCAACAAACAGCGTATGGTAGTTAATGACTACCTCCATGATGTAGAGTGTGTTTTCCCGTCCGCGGGAGGGGACTTGAGACATCGTGTCTCGTTCCTGGTGAGTGACGAGCTCCCAATTGACATGTTACTAGGTATGTACTACCTCTCTGTAGCACAGCCCCAGTTTGACTGGGACCGAAAAGTGGTAAAACACACGTTGCCAGGTGGAGGGACCGCCAGAATACATAAGTTCAAAGCTAGTAGTCTGATTGAGTCCTATGGGTGCATGTGTGCGGCCGCATTCTATAATTATTATAAGCAAAATCAGGAAGAGGGTATGTATTTAGTCTCTGTCTCTGCTGCAGGCGAGCCGGTGAAAATGCCGACAGAGATAGAGGGAGTAGTTGCTAAGTACCCTGATCTATTTGAAGAGCCGACAGGGGTTGTTGAGAGGGAGGTCGTCCACGCGATAGAGATTATCCCAGGGTCTAGTATTCCAAGGGGTAGGACCTATCGGATGTCTCCAGGCGAGCTTGATGAGCTTCGCCGCCAACTCAAGAAACTCATAGAGAAGGGCTGGATCCGGCCGAGTCTCTCTCCTTATGGGACTCCAGTTTTATTCGTGCCTAAGAAGGAGGAGGGAACTCTAAGGATGTGCATTGACTATAGGGGCCTCGATGCCATCACTGTAAAGAACAGAGAGCCCCTACCGCGCATCGATGATCTGTTAGATAGAGTGCAAGGGTGTCGGTACTTCAGTAAAATAGATCTGAAGTCCGGGTACCATCAGATTGCAATCCGGCCCGAGGATCAACACAAAACCGCATTTCAGACCAGGTACGGTCTGTACGAGTTTGTGGTGATGCCTTTTGGCCTTTGCAATGCTCCTAGCACCTTTCAGCACGCTATGAATCGGATATTCCATGACTACTTGGATAAGTTTGTCGTCGTGTACCTCGATGACATACTTATTTTTAGTAAGACTGTCGAGGAGCACGTAGCACACTTAGACCAAGTTCTCAGTCTCCTGCGACAGCACAAGTTCAAGATCAACGGTGAAAAGTGTGAGTTTGGCCGCACTCGTATCTTGTACTTGGGTCATGAGATCTCCGCGGAAGGGTTGAAGCCCGATGACGCGAAGGTGGCCAGCATTCGTGATTGGCCACGACCTCAGTTGGTGACAGAGATGAGATCTTTCTTAGGAATGACAGGCTACTACCGGACTTTTGTAAAGAACTATAGCATTCTGGCCGCTCCTTTGACTGATCTGACCCGCCTTGACACCCCGTGGGAGTGGACAGATGAGTGCGAGGCTGCTTTCAGGCATCTGAAGCATGCATTGACGCACTACGAAGTCTTGAAGCTACCTGATTCTGATAAGCCATTTATAGTAACCACGAATGCTAGCCAATATGGCATTGGCGCCGTGCTTGCGCAGCAGGAGGGGCCAAAGTTGAGGCCAGTTGAGTACATGTCCAAGAAAATGCCGTCTCAGAAGTTGGCTAAGTC